GTTCTGCACCGGCACAACGCCGGACTGCCATCAGGTGCCTTGGGATGGTAGCTTTTGTAGGCGCCAGCGCTGTCGTCGGCTGACATCACACTTCCAAGCACGCCTCCAAGTGGCCACCGTCAGCTGACTGCAGTTTGTAAGGGCGCCATCTCTTGCCGATGACAGTGTAGATGTAAGACGAGTTGCGCTTCTTGTGTCAGGTATTACAAGATGAAAAGCAGGTGATTACGTTTTACACCGGCACGACGCCGGTCGTCCTGTATTTCGTGTCACCGAACTCTTCGGGTGGGCAATCACGGTCTGCTCAACGGAAGAGCCCACAAAAAAAAAAAAAGGATGACGGCAGTAAGGATCTTCGTCTCAGTCCTGGAACGCCCTTTCCCAGCCGCATGTTTCTCCTGTACATAAAAAAAAAAAAAGAAAACATCAGCGAGGCTGAGCCGCGATGTGCGAAAATACGGTGTTAGCGTGACACAAACCATTCTCGACTCCACTCTGAGCCAAATACCGCATCTCCACGTAGTGAATGATGTTGACTGGGGCGAAGCTCGGGTGGTGCTGATCATACTGATTTTGGTCATAGGTAGTGCTGATGGTGCCGTTTTCATTAAAAAAAGTAGGTGAATATGTGGTTTTCTTCTTTTTCTTTTTTAAGAAGACAGATGGGATGGCATCTCAGAGCCCCCTATTTTTTTCTTCTTTTTATTTTTTTTTCATCTTTTTTCTTTTTTTTTGCTCTCGCTGATGACTTTATGAATAGGAGCTCGTGAGCTCCTGCTCGTGAGCTCACGAGCAGGGGCACGCCGGACGGCGGACGGACATACGGACATGGCTAGCCCCCAAGGAGCTTCGCCCCTAAAAATCGTCCCCAAAGGAGAAGGAAGGTGGACTGGTCTACATCATCTGACGCGACGACTGAAGCTCTTCGTACGTTCGGGATACAGAACTACCTGGTACGTTTGCGCCACCATCGTCCCGACACTCGGAAGAAGGACGCGTAAGACACCGCGCTAGCAGAACACGCTGAGATGAATGGCCACGCCATCGCCTTCGAGGATAACGCTGTCCTCGACATTAAAGGAAACTGTCGGAGACGCCTTCTGCTCGAATCCTTGCACATACAGCGAACTTGATACTATATAAGCCGGTCTGGGTGAAAGCCTACTTAAAAGGTCACAGAAACCAAAATCAGGAGCTCAACGTATGAAGCAGTACAACCTCAAAACACCAATATGCGTCGAGAAACATAAGAAAACATATTTTAAGCTGATTAAACGGTAACCAAAAAACGCCTGGTGGTTGTCTGTGTAGCTTCACTGGAATGCCTTAAAGGCAGCGGCCTCCGGGCTGTAGCGCTACTATATGGGAAGTGCGCTCACTAGTACTGATTACTTAGGCCTGAAGGAAAGACCGAAGGTTTGGTGAAGAAATCCAAAGCACAGTTGGCCACTTCAGATTCAGCTCTCGGCCGGTAGAATCCAAGTCCATTTCGGTCTTGTTAATCTGGTGGTTCCGCCCGTTTCGCGGGTTTTCCCGTGTGTGTGTCGTGGTATCTATGTATCGTTACCTTCACAACACTTTTCAGCGGATTTTCTCGACGTGTCTACGGCAAGATGGCGAAACACCATATGGCAACAGGCTGTGGGAATAGAGTCTTTTCAGAATGTTACACAGGTTTCCGAAGGACGAGAAGCTTTGTTACCAGAAGTAAAGTTGACATTTGAACTAGTTGGTAGTCTAACACAATATGTTACCATTAGTGTCACCTCGCGCGCCCGTCCTTTCCCACATGGGCTCCACGGAAAGGTGATCGCGTGTACGGCGAGCGCTTTTGTAATGAGGACTACGTCAGGAACCCCAGTGTTCTCCAGAGTGTGAATTCGCCGAATAGACCTATTGCTATATTAGAAAAGCATCAAGGAGAATGCAGGGATTGGTGTTCCACGCGCCACACGCGCACGCCCCGACCGTATAAGAGTTTCAAAGTAAATAACCAAAGTAAAGCGTTGACGAACGCGCGTGCAAGATGCCTTTTGTTTTAGGTTTTTGCTTTAGAAAAGTTACTACTGCTGACGCCAGCACGTGCAACGTGTGGAGCATCAATCCCTGCATTCTCCTTGATGCTTGGGTAATATTGCAATAGACCTTCAGTTACAATAGACTAGAGTGCCTCAGTGACCTTCTGTTTAGGGTGATGCCATTGTTTGTAGTACCCGATGCCGACAGCACGTGCTCACAGGGAAAATACAAATAAATCGCCGGAAACAAAATGTCGCCGTAGCACTGTCAGCGCCACGAGCACGTGCAGGGACAAGCTTTTTCACGCGCTTCTGAACAAAAAATAAAAATAATCGTTCGAAACAAAATGGCCAGATGTCATCAACCCAAGCAAAGCGCACATGAGGGCACCCTACAATAGACCATTTGCTATATTACCCAAGCACCAAGGAGAATGCAGGGATTGGTGTTCCACGCGCCACACGCGCTCGCCTTCCCCGTATAAAAGATTCGAAGTAAATAACCAAAATAAAGCGTTGACGAACGCGCGTGCAAGATGTCGTTTGTTTTAGGTATTTGCTTTAGAAAAATTACTACTGCTGAGGCCAGCACGTGTGGCGCGTGGAACACCAATCCCTGCCTTCACCTTAATGCTTGGGTAATATAGCAAAAGGTCTATTGGTTAAAACCCAAAGTTATTCCAAGTGTCTTTTTCAAAAAGCGAAATCCGGAACAGCTCGCTGTCGAAGAGTTTTCTCGGTCATAACTTGTCTATAAAAAAAACAAGTATGTGACAGGCGAAGAATGTAGTGGGGGCGCCACGCCACAAGCGTAATGCTTCCACTGCAACTGCCTCCTCTGTCAGAAAGTGTGTTGTCTGCTCTGCGACATGGCCGATACGGCGACATCGGCAGCGCCAATTTCAAGCACCAGAGAAGGCGGAGCAAAGCTGGCTGCATTTTGGATTGAACGACAACGTCGCGATGTGGCAAAGGTGCCTGAGTTGCACGTACGAGGCCAGGGAGATTTTCTATCTCATGTTGTCGAAGGTGTCGGCAGGACACCTCCATATGCGAAAATGGTAGGACGAGGCAATTGCTGCCTACCTGATTTATAATCCCACTGATCACAACGAATGGACTCGGTGAGGGCGCAAACTTCCCGGAAGAATAGATGTCCTACCGTTATGGCGCCTACCAGTAGGCGTCACATCGGTAGGCAGGGCGGCTGTGGCGTAACCTGAGTATTTCACGCAGCATATCGCATCATGTTGACCGCAGCATTGTCATGCCCCGCGGAAAAACGCGTTCGCCACGACGATATTGTGACATCTCTCGCAACAGGAGCGAACACTAAGCGAGCGAATGGGGAGGTATCGGCGCTCAGAAAGCTTGAGGAGGTCTCGGCAGGCGTTGCTGAGGCGATTGTCCAAACAGAGGCACAGAGCAGAAAGAAGGAAGAAGACTGTACAATTCTCACATCGGCACACGAAATTCTACCACGAAGAGAAGTTCACATAGCCACGATTTTCCAACACGAATTGGCTCTATAACGAACACTCAACAAATGAAGTGAAGCAATCGGCACTGCATTCGCCGGCCTCGTCAAGCGAGGGTTACGCGATCGTCCAATCGGGGGCAGTGAGCACGTCGATGGTGACTAAGTAAGATGACAAGACGGTCGCTGAATTCTGACATCGCAATGAAGAAGCTACCGCACACAAAGGAGGATACCAGCACAGTTATGTGATGTAAACCAAGGTCACTTCGAGCAGCCGGCATTCCCCGCGAAAAAGACGTTGAAAAGAGCGTGCTCAGCTTCAGAAAAGCTGAGCACGCTGTTCGTGAATCCCCGACGTCATTGATGTCAAGGAATGAGTGGAACCGATTGGCTGGCGGAGTGATATCAATCTCTTTGACGAGATGATACCTGACAGCCAAGCGTCAACGCTCATAACCACGGTGCGCTTGGCTATAGTAAGGGCCATGACGTCGAGGGCTGTTCGCGGGCGCGATGGATATACCGAAACGCACGGCTCTCTTCGATGGCTGATTTTGAAGTGCTTGCCAGAATCGGGCATATAGAACGAAAAATACAGCCATCCGTTTGGAACACGAATGTGAGATTATTGCTGACGGATATTGTCAATTATATTTGACTAATTTCTCAAATGTTCTGGCACGGTTTAAATTCTTTTTTTTTTGTATCCCTTTAAACAAGCCGTCCACGTGGACCGCCAATGATCCTTGACCAAGGCGCTGAGCTGGCCCCGAAACGACCAGGGATTTTTATATATTCAAATATGACATTCTTTAGTCTTGCAAGTTTAATATTTGCTAACCGAACGGAAAACCGTTGAAACGTTGTTTTTTTTTTGTTTTTTTTTTTTGAAGGATTGGATATTTTTGTCATTACAGTGACTGGGAACGAGGCGATTCCCGAATGTATGCCGAGAAATTCATTGTCAAATGTCCAAATTGAATGTTTACGCAGTGCTGGTGTCCGCAGCGTGAGCCGTCCTTAAATCGCGGCAATCGCAAAGCTTGATGTTAAATTCAAGGCGATCGGTTTGTTGATAACTCCTACATTGCGAACCCAGCGACGTAGCCACCAAGTTTGCGAAGGATAGACTAAACAAAAAAGACCATGTTTGTCCCTGAAATTGAGCGGGACCAGAAATCTCCTTGTTCAGTTTTGTTGCGCGCCAGTATACTTGCGTTCCGCTAGTGCCAGAAAGCATCTGTAAGGCGAGAAACATTTCTATCCAATATCGCTGCACGGCCCCTTTGATGCAACTAAATATATAATAGTGAGCGTCTTGCCAACAGTAGAAAGGCGACAAAGCGGCACGTTGGTGTCGCACGTCGCCAAATATGTGGTAATAAGATGGGATCGTTTCCCATATTTTATCTCAATAACTATATCTCTTCATCGTGACCTCTCCTAAGGCAGCGGTGTAATCTTCTTTCTCCCTCTCTTCGTCTTTGCCAATATCCAAGCAGGACTGTTCCAGCGCGCCATCATGATGTCTGGTTCGGCGCTGAGCCCCTGGGCGCTGGCGAGGGACGCTCCTCGGCACACGCTGCACGTGGCCCGCGCCCTGGACTGCCCGACCGAGGAGAGTCAGGGCCTCGTCGAGTGCCTGCGCGTCCGGCCCGTGGCCGACATGCTGCGCGTGCCCCTGGCCGTGCCCGACCACTTGAGCGCCTTCGGCCCCACCGTGGACGGCATCGTGCTCGTCGCCGAGCCGCAGGCGCTCATGGAGGACTTCAACACGCAGGTGAGCAGCCCGCGACTCGGGTATGGCGTCTGTTAACCGTCCTTGACCAGTGTCTTTAACGCCCTATCCCATCCATTGAGCAGAAGTGGTCCCAATGTAGCAATAAATGAGGGCACAGAAGCCGGTGTCTTATTGTGTCGGATGTTGGCATCCTGGCAATTGGTGGTAGATGTCCATGGAAAAATTACGAGCGAACGCGAATCTCACTGTCGTCGCGATTTTTAGACTCTTGGCTGCTGAGGCTTCTGTGTATTGTCATACTGGAGAACGGCCGTGACACTTCCTTTAAACGCGTCCGGCGACAACCAGGCAATACCACGACGTCATCAGTCGCAAAGGGAGAGACCGCTTCTGAAAACTTGGAAAGCACACGAGTCGGAAACGCTTTCCGGGCCCCTTAACCCGCTTGGGCCGAAGAAGCAGCGTTTCTGCGGGATATTGCCTGGGGCTACTGTTAACGTGAAGAATCGGTTTGCGCTTTCTCGCACCTTCCTCAGACTGCTGGTAGAACAACAAAACTTCTTTTTACCATAAATTGGTGCCTTGGATTAGAGGATTCTTACGTACTGTCCAATGTCTTAAGGAATAAAACTTTTAGTATTTTTACTCCAAACGTCAGCTGCGCATCTCCGAACACTCAGTCTCCGCAAGCTGAAGATACAGCTTTAGATGTGTGGACCAGATGCCAACATTTCAGAGCTGCCGGTATCTAATTCAAACGTTATAAACGATTTTCGGAAATTTTCAATGAGAACGTGCCGCCCATTCCCAGTCTCCGACGACATTTAATTCTATGTATTTCTAAGCTTCTTCGGCCACTATAATCATTGTATTTATAGTAGCACGACCATAAAGATCCGTGCAGGTAGATATAAGTAAAAGTACGTATAGACTCTCTATGAAGGGGGAAACGTGTAGCCAGTACACTGCCTTCCTTGTTATTACACACTTTCTTCCTAACAAGGAATTTATGTGCACCCTCGAACACCACACACCGGAAAATTATTTTAAAAAATTGTAAACTAATTGAAAAAGTGAGCGGGAAAGCTTAATTGTAAAGCTTATTTCAAGTACTTTTTGGTAAAGAAAGGTGTAGGTAATTACATTATTTCGCGGTGCTTTTCACACCTCTGGCGAGACAGCACACAGTGCGGCTAGCACGAACGGTATCCTAATTCATGTTATGCGAGTATTTGTAGTTACCTCTGTTTATTCTCGAATGTTTAGAACCAAGCTACATTTCACTTGGGGTGGCCACCTCAAGGATTCGTAATCATAAGCGTCGACATTATCGCTCATTTATAGCGCAATGTTCCTGTGCTTTCTGGTTTGAAGAGTATATTGTTGTATTGATATGCACTTCGCATTCAAAGCCAGCTCAAGGCTCTCCTCTTTCGCCTTCTACTGTATAAGTAGACCCCCATTTTGGGATGCTGCAAGTTCAGAATAATGTGCACATAACTCGAATAGTATTTGCTTTGTGGATATATCAAACGGAATGCGCGATGATAAATGTTTTGGTAAGGATTCCTTCGGGATTGCCAACCTATATGGTTTTCGAAATTCCTGGTAGAAGTTTGGGGGGGGGGGGGGGGTTGGGAGGTGTACACCATGGGCTTGTGTACATTAGGTACGAAATTCTGTGTGTATGTCTGTTGGGATGGGAAGGGGGGGGGGGGGGCTCGGTCCCCTACTGGAGGCGTATCAAGAGGTGTTGGAAAAGCCATTACGAGGGCATCTATCACGTCTTACAAAAAGCTGATATTGAATGCACTTAGTTGCACATTGTCTTCAGAGTGATTAAGCGTCTTAGGATTTCGGGTACCTCGTCCAAGATTAGTGTCTCGTTGCATGTTGCCGAACAGGCTCCACGCCACGGCTATAAGACAGTTCAGGAGACGGGCAAAACGGCTTTAATTCTGAGGCAGACCAATATCATTTAGAGTAATGATGTCCTCCGAACGCCTTACTCCTCCTCCATGGAACGTCATCATAGTCGGGTCGCACTGACGCAACAATTGGACCCGAGCCAGATGCCGAGCTTCCTTCGACCCGTTGATTGGACACGAGGTCCAACCGAGCACTGACGCGGCGCTCGTATCCAATCAGTGTCTTCGCCCGATCTCACTGCGATGATGTCAAAATTCGAACGCACAGGCTTTGATTATTCTATGTCGTTTTGCGTAGAATCGCCGTCAGAAGAAGAAAAGGGATATGCGGCGGCGGGATATTCCTTTTGTATGGTTCGCCGCAGCTAGAAAATAAACAAAACAAAAACGAATGTAGCTTGGAAGATGACGCTTCCGCGCTCAGCTATCTTGGCTATCATCATAGCCTCCTCTATACTCACAAAGCGTGGCAGTACGACGACGGAGCCATAGAGTGCCCGGTCGCAGATTTGGAGCGCGAGGATCTGGTAGCACCGAGAATTTCTCGGGGAGCTTGTAGACAGCGCACAGCTTTTGCAGCGGCGAGGAACCGAAACACGAGTCTCGACCCCGACGAGAAAAAAAACGGTACCCAAGGAACTCTGGGAGCACGAGCGTACATTTCATCGCTCGGGACAAGTGTGTTTCGGTAACTCGCCGCAGCGGGGCGCCCTTTAAATGGCTCTCCTATCATTCGTTGCTTTTGCCGCTCTACCTCTTCACCTTCGGCGGCCGCCTCTCGTGGCGATCTTCCAGGGTTTGTCAGTATAGATTAGGCTATGCTATCATACACGCGTGACAACGCAAAAGGCTTACATGCCACACTGGAGATTCGTTGACCAGCGCTTTGCCTCTGAGCAAACGAGGTGACTCAGAGGCGCACTGTCAAACATTTTTTATTTCTGGAAGAGAAAGACTAGTTTAGATAAGGTATTGATCTGGTACTCCTCAAATAAACGTGTTTAACAGGCTTCATAGTAGGTCTATATTGCTTTGTCTGTTATAAAACTTGAAATGATATACAAAGCAACATGGCAGATTGCTTTTGATTCACATGCCAGTCTTTTAGTTTTTGTTTCAATGTGGTCAATGCTTATTGTATTATATATGAAAGTGAGAAAGAATCATTTCATATATATATATATATATATATATATATATATATATATATATATATATATATATATATGAAAGATGTATGAGAATAGGAGGAAATCAATAAATATGGTCTTAAAAAAGTGTCAGCACGCAAAAAGTTGAAGGCTCTAATTCTAAAGCGATCTACTGAGGTATCAAATGTTGTACATAAATAGAGCAAAGTCGCACAGGCAGACAATGTATTTTACGTATTATATAATTGCACATCATATGTTACGTTGTGTTTTTTAGCACGCCCCAACCCATGTGCACCTTAAAACACTACTTTGTTAAAATCTAATTATTATTGGCACTTCTTGGAACATTTATATAAGATATTTATAATAGTTTCCTACAACGAACACATATTGCCAAGGCTCGTAAATGCATGCGATAGCTATGATTCGGGAACATCACAGCAAAAGATGGTTAACCCTCGTATACGAATTCAAGTACTTCTGTTGATCTGTGCGCTCGCAGTACCGCAACTACGACGTGATGCTGGGCATGTCCCGCTTCGAGTCGTACTTCTTCATCACGGCATCCGAAGAGAAGTACGGCATCGAGGTGGACCGCCGGGACCGCATCCTGCGCACCCTGGTGCGCAACCTGTACTCCTACCACCAGCAGGAGATCTTTCTCACTATCGTCAACGAGTACACCGACTGGACCAGGCCCTTCCAGGTGAGCGTTCAAAGCACCTATGCACCAACAAGCTCGAAAGCCATGACGAGAGCACTCTAAACTTGGGTTCACTTCAAGAAACGTCGTGGAGAAAGTCCGGCTCCACGCGGAGTATACCTAATTTCCCCTTTTACGTGGTAAAATAACACGTGTGTAAGTTTATTTTAAATTAGCAACATAGAATTGTATCAGGACGTGCACGTTGAAAATGCAAATAGCATTGTTTCTTGCCTCTTGAACAAAATAACGTCAGAACTACTTCGCGCAGCGTATGGACTCTGCGCAAAACCTTTTTTTCTTCGTGTGACAGCGACTGTAAGCTACTTTACACTGTTGTGTTTAAGCGTGATCGAGTGCACTGCGCTTGCCTGTAAGCGCGGATGGCGGTAAACACACTGGCGTTATCTACCAGGTATCGTTCGAATATTTTCTCATTTTGAATGTTTAGAAGCATCATAATTTCATCGTGAGCTCGAAACACTTATAAAAATGATCTGCGTACGTTGATTTGATCTAGTGAATAGTGCCAAACCGACAGCCTAGTAATACCAGTTTAAGAATTACCTGATAGATGACGCCTGTGTTCCAGTGTGTTGATCTCTTCGTAGTCAGTTACCAGTGAGCGCAGCGCGCTCAACCAGACACAAATGTAACTGTGTGAATCATCCGACTCTTCACGATGACAGTAATTCGCCTGTTCCCGTCACGGGATGTTCGTCGGCACGTCCGTCACGCGTGAATGCCACTTTCTTGTTTATCGGACTTTCGGAATCACTCTTGGCGACGCGAGAGTTTCTGAAGTCAACACTACGCTTTTAGAACTCTGCTCGAGGAGCGTCTGGTGATTAAGGTGTGTAGAAAGATCATTAGGCGTGTAGAAGAAAAAAACACCGAACTCGCGCAACTAGACTTCACTGAGCATCCATCGTAAACTTAGTGCCATCATTGCTAAAGCTTCAAGAAAACAAACAAGCCATTTTAATAAGCTCCTGTGCATTATAATATTAAGAAAGCAGTGGTCGGCCTCTATATTAGCCACTTTTTAGAGGATAATTTTCAATAAACGTAGACCCTTGTCGTGCCTTTATTTAGCCACTAAACGTATCATTTTTCATTTTGTTTTCACTTCTTTGGAGGTAGTTAATTAAGTTAATATTTTGCTTGCCTAATGAAATTATTGGTTTCCGAAAATACACGTTCCAGAGACTTTCAACTCAGTAGTATATTTGGGAGTAGAAGGTTATAATGGATTTGTTTTAAGAAATACTTTATTTTTCCAAAACGAAATCGCCTGAAAGTTAGAGAAAAATCATAAATTACTGGGAATCGCATTGAGTTAGTTCCACAATGATTAGAGGAACTTCCCATTACGTTGTTGTTAGAAAATCCCCGACTGGCCCCAAGCTGTAAACATGCTGAAGCTGGACGATTGTGCACAGCAAAACTACGGACGTGTGCGTCTTGACCTTAGTGTGTGTTTAGCATTGCTTCCGTTGGCAGACGGTACCAGACATCTTAAGGCCTGTGCTCATTCGCGTTTAGACCTGGTGCGTATACCGTAGCGGCAAGCGGATGCGTAGCATTGAAAAGAGCGGTTGCGGCAAACTTGTCTACACAGTAGCGTTGACACGCAGACGACTACACCCAAGAGCCAATAACAACGCACTATCAATGCTAGCTCCAATAGTAAGCGAAATTCACGGCAACGTGGCGGCGCCCGGAGACAGTGTGAAAGTGGTCCATCTTGGGACAATCTCGCTGGCTTCCCCGACATTCTGTCCGGTTAGAAACCATCGCATCCTTCGACAAACTCGCTCCCGCATTCCCCACCACTTCCGAAAGCGTAAAAGTAGGTTCTTCTAACGGAGAACTAGAAACGCACCGTCGAGTGGCGTGAGCGATAACGTGACCCTCCTTTCCTTTCTCAGCTTCTGAATAGTCTACCGTAATGCGCTCCCACTACTTCCGCGTCAAAAGTTGAGACAGTCTCTACGAGGAGTGCCCAACCTTGCCTTCCAAAGAGAAGCGTACAGGACACGTGAAAATAGGGAGTTTTAGCGAGTCGTTTTTCGAGGCCACGGTTCCGAAACCACGATTGGTGCAGCTGGTTCGTTCCGTGAAACCGTACCTGAAATTTCACTTACTTTAGCGAATTGCGAAACTGGCGCAACCCTGTGAACGATGATGATGATTGTGTTTGACCCGTGGCACCATCTTCTAGTAAACATCTGAAACATTCTGCAACGCGTAAATCCCCAGCGGCTCGTGCTTCTGGCGTACGACTGATGTAAACAAGACAGCCGATGTAACATTTGACGGTCGGATTTCAAGACGTGAGAAGCTAGATAGAGTAAAATGTATCCGAACAACCGTAAAGGTATGTGGTGTGTCTCCGTCATCTTGAACTTGAACGATCGTTCACGTTTTGTGCCGTCCGACCAAATCACTTAGTCTGCTCGCGATAGCCACAGCAGCTAGTCTGCCCGCAGATCGCAAAAATTCGCAAGCATGTGCAGTTTAGAACATTCACGATCGCTTACCATTGGAGCAGTCCTCGAAATGATTTGGTTCATCCTCTCAAATGAAGCAGAGTAACAGGATGGCAAATCGCTTCCCGCTGTCCGAAGCCTAACGCTCCGCTGGGTCGGCGAAGTCAGTCGCCAAACCGACCGCCATCTTTTTTTTTTACCCGAGTCGTGAACGGTGCTGGCTAAGTTCCGGCGACGACTCCAGCGGCCAGAATGGGAGAGTAGAAACGAGAAGAGCCTCCCAACGTCCCGAACGACTTGCGTGCGCATGCGCAGTGGCGTCTATCCGATGCGTTCGAGGACAAACCGTTCGTGTGGAAACGACCTGCTATAACTCCCTATTATCGCGCGACGTCACATTTGTGACGTTTCTCATGTAGACATCTTTTTCCGCTCGGAAAGCTCGATAGATTATACGCTAGCTGTCCCCCGGTCGCGCGCGCGCTTGGATACCCGCTGATTGTTTTGTTTGTTCTTTTTGCGTTAAAAAGCATTTTTTGATTACTCAGATATATAAGTAATAAGAGCAAGTACGCTAAACATTCGTTTAAAACTAACACTCTGTTCTTTATTGACACCTAAAGTATAAAAGGAAAACATTTGTTCACATATGCGCCGTTTCAGGTCACGTTAAGGTCCTTCAGAAAGACCTCTTGGCTCTGAGAAATCGGCAATTGAGAACCGAATTCGCTTGTCTTCTAGCCGAATCTTCAAAGGAGTGCGTTCTTAAGATATTTCTTGCGTGTCCGCAAAACAGCGATTTGCACGAGTATGAATCAGCGAAGTTTATGAGAGAAGCGAAACAACTAACTAACAAACTATAGAAGTCGTTGAACACCTGAGACTGTGGTGCAGGGAAGAAAAAAAAATGTTTAGTCGAAGGGAAAGACACAGAAAGGAACGTCTCTTCCCTCCTTCAACTAAATATTTTCCATTTTTGTACCACAGTTTCGAGTGTCAGACGACATGATAATCTATTACCAGCTACCCTGTGCACTTACAGTCTTCTCACTAATAAACTGTACATGTTTACGGAAGAAGGGGTTCGAATATCCACTTCACATTTCCAGAAGGATGTCTCAGCAAGGGCACTACCGAAGGTAAAAAAAAAATCATGATATTTATGCTTCTTAACAAATACGATGCTTCAACGATACGGTTTCGGGTTTTCAATTGAACAGAATGCAAGCCCGGCGCAATAACCCCTGCGCCACACCGCATTTTTAGAGCGCAGCTCTTAGGGGCCCGTTCCCGGCTTGAGCGGCGTCGGCGTCGCCGTCGGCGTCGGCGTAACCAAGGTCATCCCAAGGTCACGTGACCCCCAAGGTCACGTGACCCCTCCCAAGGTCATCTCAAGGTCACGTGACCCCCTGAAGGTCACGTGACCCCTAAGGTCACGTGACCTTGGGGGTCACGTGGGGTCATCTTGGGATCACGTGACCCCCAAGGTCACGTGACCCATTCCAAGGTCATCTCAAGGTCACGTGACCCCCAAGTCACGTGACCCTTTGAAGGTCACGTGACCCCTCTGAGGTCACTTGACCCCTCTAGGTCACGTGACCCCCGAGGTCACGTGGTCTCCTCCCCAAGGTCCCGTGACCCCCGAGGTCACGTGACCCCCAAGGTCACGTGACCCCTTCCAAGGTCATCTCAAGGTCACGTGACCCCAAGGTGACCCCCACGTGACCCCCCGAGGTCACGTGACCCCTCCAGGTCACGTGACCCCTCCAGGTCACGTGACCCCCAAGGTCACGTGGGGGTCACCTTGGGGGTCACGTGACCTTGAGGTGACCCCCAGGTCACGCCTCCCCGAGGTCACGTGACCCCCTCCACGAAGTCACGTGACACCCCCCCCCCCCCCCCCCGAGGTCACGTGACCCCCCCCCCCCGGAGCATATTAAAGAATGAGGGGAGGAGGAGGAGAAGGGAGAGGGGTCTACCCTCCCCTCAGTAGCCTTCACTCCTCCTCCTCAAGAGCTGCGCTCCAATTCGGCGTTACAGGGATTTGTAAACGGCTTTCACTTTTTCTTTTTTTATTCGCTCCGTCACACCGCAGACAACGTGAAGATAATAAACCTTGCTTATGACCCCGAGTACGATCTCTCGGTACGGCTCCTGGAGTATGTCGCCCAAAATGAGTTCAGAAACTTCTCTCAATGTTACTACCGTGAATCTACCTGGCTAAATGAGAAGGCCATAGTCCTGGCCTAAATGAACGCTTATGTTGTTTAGAGGTCTGGCTAGATGAATTTAATACCGCAAAGTTCGTCTCTCTTGAAAGATTTCCCTTAAAATTTTAGCAGAATTTCAAGCGCGTTTGGAACCACCTTTTATTAATTTTAGGCACCCTTTTTGTGTGGAGGCGATGAAACCGCTCATCGAAAACCCATGTCTGCAGTCGCTTTGGTACCTGAGCCCTCATTTTTATTTTATGGCGAGAAAGCGAATTTTCGCATTGAAACCTTTACAGGGTACCGGCGGCTGGAGCTAGATGGCACAAGTGGCCCATGTCCCTGATTGTTGGGAATGGAAAGGCCCAAAATGAAAATCACCATTGGAACCAAGACCGATCAGCCAATGACCTTGAGAGACGGTGCCGTCTATTCGTTGGTATTTGTTAGTGTCCGGCTGGCAGACGGGAAGGCAATGGCATTACTTTCCCAGATCAAGGAACCTTACACGCGCTAACACCGCAGACAACCTCCTCCTACGGGTAGTAACTCATCACTGGTTTCATCGAAAATGAAGGCTTCTCGCCTCTCGGCTTTGCATTCTAGCAAGCCGGGCTTGTATGAGTGTACCAAAATACGTCCCCCCTCACCCCCGGCCAAGCAGCGGCGCCACATAACTTTAAGAACGTCTTGCTGCCGCAACTACGACGAGCCACAGCGGAATCGTGGAAGCACCCAATAAACATCTTCCATAGCGAATTAGGACTATGAAGGGAAACTATTACTCTCCTCTTCGTGGATCATTCGGGTATATATGGAAGCAGCAAGCTACCTCCGTCCAGCAGAGATGAATCCAAGTGATCATTACCTTCGCCGCCAGCGTTCCCGGTGATAACTGCAAATTCCGGATGTTTTCCCAACACCCGCTGACAAAACCTATCTGCTTTCTGGGGCTCAACAACTTTTCCCTCCCTTACGACGATAACCTGCTCTTTCATGCAGCGTCCTAAAACTGCTACGTTGCTCGATCTGGGAGTCCTTGTTCTGCTACATCCACGCGCAGCCGGGATCCGAGATATCCTCGGCTGGCGGAAAGGTGCCGTAGAGACACTCACGGCCTTCTTAAGCCACACAGACGTTGACGACAAAGCAGAGATGCCTTTACAGGGCAATGTTTGCATCCAGTTCCTGTATGAAATCTTGTGCCAAATTTCCATCGGGGTATCCCCTATATATTGATTTAGGGAAGTTCAACAGCTGTCGGGCACAGACGTAGGCACAGCATTTCCAACACCCGCATAAGAGACTTGAACATTGCCGTCATTGCGCTCGTGAGCTCGCGGACGTATCCCATTGTCGCCACCAGAGCTGGTGCCTCGGGCTCCGAAAGTGTTTGGGGTGCCCGTGATCCCACCCACCGGAAGACGTCCGGCGGCGTCCGACATTCGCCGAGTCTCCCTCCCGGACGAAGCGTCCCTATTTGCGGCCACGCTCGACCTCATATCGACGGGCAACGTTGGCTCTCACGATAACGAGCGTTCAGCGAGTAGAGCGCCATTCTTCTAAATGGGTCGAGGAACGCATCGAGTATGACCACCAAGGGACGACCGAAAGATAGGGCCAGCTGGTCCGGCCCCACGTTCGAGTGCCAGATAATGTGGGGTGTTCACTTTAGAAAACGCCCGATCACGCCCCGCCTCGACCGCCCCGAAGGTGATCACACAACGCAAAGTACGAAGAATCTACTGTATCACAGTTGGAGGAGGCAGCGAATTGTCCTTCCACCGTACCGTAGCCGACCGTCGTCGAGCTAACTGTCTCAGCTCTGCCGCGTGCCATCTTCGTCTGCCTCCTCTTGGCCCCCGCGGGACCATGTTCGGCCCGCTTGTGGCCGTGATCCCCCCAAGTCGTGTCATCATAGGTGAAGCGATAGCTTCCTGATGCAGATTAACAAATTGTCAGCTGCCTGCTACCCTTGGGGGTTATTGTGGGTGCTGTAGAGTTTCTGGTGAAGCTGTTTAGGATGCGTTTTTGTTCTGAGGCAACACAGAGACCAACATCAAGACCAGTGGTCTTGCTGCATGTTTACCAGGTGTCCCACTATATTAATAATGTTGTTAGTAGGTTCGTCGTACCCGTATTTTTTCGGCGCGATCCACGTTGTCGCAAATGTGTGGAACTATTAATCGAGGTGGACGCCCAGAAGCACAATGTCACGTCAACCACCACCGCAGGCATGCTGCCTGCATATGTGGAGTAGCGTACCTGATGCTTTTGTCCTTTGACAAAGTTTACACTGGACAGACGGGAAGGTGCGTCGACGTCCGGGAGAGGTAACATTCCCTTACATTGCGCTCCTTGCTGTCTGGTCATGTCGCGGTTCTTTGTGGTAGATGTGTATGTTCTTTGCTGTTTGGTAATATTTAGCAAGACATAGAAGTAATATCTCTAAAAAAAATGACAAGGTTTATTGTGTTGCCAGCTCTGACGCGATCATGTGAGTAGGTGCTCCGTCGATAGCCCTGGCAATAGCCTTGGTGGGAACCCGCATGAATGGGGAGGTATATTATCGGGGTTTTCTTGCGTCTTTCTTGTCTAGTTTCATGTTCACTTGCTGTATTGCGCAGAAGTAAAATTTCAGTTGTAAGTCAGCGCTCTGTGTATGTACCTCTACCTGCCTTCCGTCTTTTGCGCTGTTTTTACCAGTTTAATATGTCGATATCGCTCACCGGCTTCGCCGGAATATTCTCGGTACAATCCATGGCCTATATTTTTATTGATTTTGTTTTTTCGCAGTCCACCTATCACTCTCGATGCGAAATAAATCTTCATATAAGGAAGTCACACCCGAATTTTACTTTTTAACCCACCCTGGAGGAGCGAACCCTACACAATTCCTGCAACGAATTACCGTTTTCGCCATACGAATGCTGGTAGGAAAGTAATTTATTTTCCCATGATGCATCGCTTCGATCTGAATGAATATCTCCTATAAGGACAGCCGCGGTTGTGTCTTACAAACAAATTTGGGGTTGCTTAAAACGTCTTTTGGGGCGCCGTGTCTCGCAGCACCCGATGAACATCCTGGACGGCACGGGCGAGGCAGTGGGCGACGCCCTGGTGGTGGCTCCGCTGGTGCGCGCCGCCAATCTTCACGCGCAGGTGTCTCCGTCCACGTTTGTGTACGTGTTCGGCTACCAGAGCGAGGCCGGGGACTACCCTAGCCGCCTGGGCTGTATCCACGGCGAGGAGCTGGCCTACTTGTTCGGAGCGCCACTGGTCACATCACTAGCCCACTTCTCCAAGAACTACAGCAAGGCCGAGCAGTCCCTCGCGGAGGCCACGGTCACCTTCTGGACTAACTTCGCCAAGTTTGGGTGCGTACTCTACGGTTTTCCTTGTCAAGTATCCAAAGACCCTTTTCAGAGCTGCTTTAGTGCTAACCAGTTCGATCCTACTCCATTAAAACGGCAATAGGGCACTTGGTTAATTACCACTTAGAACGGTGACAAATATAAACAACGAATAAAAAGTGGACTCTATTCCCCACCTTCTTCTTCTTGTGTATATTTTGTGCATTTTAGGTTCTACAGCAGCTTGAAATCGACAAAAAAAGGTTATATTATTTTGTAGTTTTATATTGGACCGCTGCTTTCAGATACGAGAGAAACAATCGAGGAGAAATTAATTTCTGGTCATTCTTGTTTGCATGACGAGAGCATGCTATCTCAATCTCGCAGCTAAATCGCTAACGAAGGCGTTTTCTAAAAAGAAACTTACGACTCTTACACAAAACATAGATTTGAAAGAGTGTAGTGATTTTTGTGAAGCGTGAAGGCATGAAAGCTGTTTTCTATGGTAATCGAGACGAGGTGTAGGACCCGGAACCTATAGGAATGATTCGGCGGATATTAGATTAAACATAAACTGCACTTGGGACAAGCAGATTTACTTTTCCCTGCCACTCCACTTCAGTAGAATGTTTGGAAATACGCTTCCATTTTTCCGACCTGTCGATCCTACGATCGCCAAACTACGAGCGGGAAGTACGTCTTCACTTCAATTACAAAAATGAAATTGCGCTCACTATTTGCACTCTTAATTTTTTGAAAAAAAAAAAAACTCGGAGGCGGTAGCCAACGGGTAGCCCTGGCACACTCCTGGTCCGCAAATATTTCCATACTTCTATGCTTCATCCATCCATCAAAGGAATGAAAAACGTCTGAAGGCTATGCGCGAACATTTACCGAAGATAGCGCGCAGGCGTGTCCTTGCAGATACTGCCAAACCCGCCGTATAGTTCAAAACCGGTTGTGTTTAAAACTCTATTGCACACTGACGCCACCAAGGTTCCACTAGCGCGAAAAACAGACAAAAGAAGTGTGAACAGGCCGGAAATTAGAGTAAAATTAATTATCTTTTCATTCATCAAAAACAGCACGAAAAGTTCATGCTAAGAATAATTGCGTAAAATAAAAAAAAATATAACAAAAATAACGTCCTAAGCCTACATCCCCTAGAGAGGCTTATGTTCCTTCGTTAACATAATTAAAATTTTTGTGATATCGTGACCGAGCCGAGAAGTTTGTCGTGTCGCGTCACCTTTCCTACGCGAATTTCTTGGCTAAGATCCTCTTAGCGCCATAATTTATTGATTTTTTTCTTTTCGTTTTTCTGAATAATTAAAAATGCGCCTAATTAAACGCCAATTCTCCTTCATAAGTAATTATTCATTATTTTTTCTTCGTGCTTGCAGTAGCGCTTCAGTGAAAGCACTTTCAAAAGCTTTTTATATATATATATATATAAATATACACTGGACATTATGGATCGCCAAAACGTTTGCTTTCCCTTTATGCATTCGTGTCGTTTCTTAACAAATGAAAGTATTTTAGCACTTAGGCGCACTTCCTTCGTATAGCGGACACCTCTCAAAAGTACGCACTATTTCGCTATGGTTAAGCATGTCTGAAATGACGCAGGCAAGCGATCTCGGTCCGGACGGAACCACAAAGAAAACATTTATTGCCAAGAACCGCTTGTTCTTATATTCCTTCGGGGTGACGTCACACGGGCCGTGTGCAACTTATCGACTAGATAAGAACGCTCGCGCTACGACACTCCTCCGGGCTTACATTTTTGCTATTTCCGAAAGTCCTTGTGTTGAAACCGGTCCGGGGGACGGCGTTCACGAACATCACGACGCAGCACGATGTGCGACTCGTCCTGAGTCCGGCTGCGAAGTTCACCGTCGTCTGTCGTAGGGGCCGCGTCGGACGTCGGATGGATCGGCGTTGACTGTTCCGATTCGTAGCCTGGGATCGAAGACGCGTCTGAGTTTGTCGAGCCGTGCGCTGGTAGCAATGCACCGTCCGAAGGCTGCGGTGGGGTTACCACCAGTGGCTGTAGCTCGTCGCGACGCACACTTGCCTGGTCGCCACACACACTCACTGGTTCAGTTGTAACAGGTCGTGCGAAGGAATGGCGCAGATGGTCTGCGTGCATAAATCGAATTTGACCACCCGCCACGCGCACAAGATACGTCACTGGGCTAACAACCTGAGTCACCGTGCCGTCGTCCCAGGAGATGTTCTCGCCACGCACACACTTAGCATACACTCTCTCCCCAACAGCAAAAGCGCGCTCGGTGCCCCGATGTTATCTTTCTGCTGTTTGCTGTTTAACTGTTTATCACGCATATCCCGAACAAAATTTGGCTTGAGGAAAGACAACTTGATCCTCGGTTGCCGATTTAAAAAAAGCTCGGCAGGTGTCTTCCCTGTTATGGAATGCGGCGTGTTTCGATAGCTCATCAAAAAGCTGTCCAACGCTTCCTGTAGCGTTTCTTTTGATCGGGATTGAGCTTGGGATAACAGTTGTTTTAACAAAGCACGCTTTGTGGTCTGCACTAAGCGTTCGGCAGCTCCGTTTGAAATCGGGTGATAGGGCGGTGCCTTTGTGTGCTTGGTGTTGTTAGTCGCCAGAAACTGCTCAAATTCCTGGGAAACAAGCTGGGGCCCATTATCACTGACGATTTCCTCAGGAAACCCGTACGCTGCAAACACATTTCGAAGTTTGCTGACTGCCTGTGAAGTGATAGTAGATGTCATAAGCCATACTTCTATCCATTTAGAATATGCATCTACTAGAACCAAAAAATTGTGTGGTCCCTTTGCAGCGAAATCAATGTGTACCCTTTGCCAGCATTTAGAAGGGTAAGGCCAGGGGTGCAAGGGAACAGCTTGTGCCGCCGGTTGCACGACTTGGCAAACTCTGCATTGCCTGACGTACTGTTCTACTGCTTTGTCTAGCCCCGGCCACCAAATGTAGCTTCTTGCTAACATTTTCATTCTGGTGGTGCCAGGATGATCCTCATGCAGCAGTGACAACACGGCTGGTCTCAATGCCTCTGGCACAACAACCCTTGTGCCCCAAGTCAGGCAACCTTGTTCAATAGATAGTTCTAGTCGTCGGACAAAGAACGGTTGCAGATCATCTGCGATATCTACAGGCCAACCAGATCTAGTATACTCAACTACCCGGCAGAGTGTACCATCTCGTGCTGTGGCTTTGGCTATGTCTGCTGCTGTTAATGGAGTACATTCAAAGACAGAAAGGCATTCAGCTGTATCGGCTTTTGGTCGGGACGGAACAGGGAGCCTTGAAAGCGCGTCAGCCACTTCGGTTTGCGATCCCTTGCGGTATTTAAGGGTATACTGATAAGCTGCCATGATTACAGACCACCTTTGCAGCCTTGCAGCCGCCTGTGATGGAGTCGCTTTATCCTGGCTCAAAATGCCCAAAAGGGGCTGATGGTCCGTATATAGAACAAATTCACGGCCGAAAAGATACTTGTGGAACTTTTTAAGCCCGAAAATTAGAGCAAGAGCCTCCCTTTCACACTGCGCGTAATTTTTTTCCGCTGTCGTCAGTGTTCGCGACGCAAAGGCTATCGGGCGCTCGTCTCCATTCGGCAAGACATGAAAGATTACCGCCCCGACGCCGTAGGCTGACGCGTCACATTGCAAACCCAACGGTTTGCGTGCGTCGTAGAAAATGAGGGCGCGGCTGTTGATAAGCAGCTGCTTTGTCGCGCTGAATGCGTTACTGCACTCTTTCGTCCAAAGCCAGCGTTCTCCTTTTCAAAGCAGCCTGTACATTGGTTCTGCCACCGATGACATATTCTTTAAGAACTTGCCGTAAAAGTTAAGCAGTCCCAAATATGCCTTGAGTTCCGTAGTGTTTGTTGGCTCTGGAGCGTGGGTGATTGCTTTTACTTTTTTATCTGTTGGATAAATGCCATCCGCACTTATTTTATGGCCAAGGTATGCTAATGAGCTCTGAAAAAACTTGCACTTCTCGAATTTAAGCGTAAGGTTGTACTCGCTTAGTTTTTCTAGTACCCGTTCGAGTGTCCTTTGGCAATCATCCACGTCGCGGCCAGCTATGATAACGTCGTCGAGGTAGCACCCAACGTTTGCGATACCAAGCAAGACCTTGTCCATCAAGGACTGAAATATAGCAGGGGCACTCGCGATCCCATAAGGGAGTCTGTTATATTGATAGAGCCCCTTATGAGTGTTTATTGTTAGAATCTGTCGGGCTTCCGGGCTCAGTAACACTTGCTGGTAGGCTGATGATAAGTCTAGCGCACAAAACACTTTGCCTTCCGCAAGGGCGGTGAACAACTCCTCTGGTTGCGGTAACGGGTAATGATCCGTCTTTAACACTGGGTTCACTGTGACCTTATAGTCACCACACAGCCTCAGCTCATCGCCTTCTTTCTTTGGAACCACCACCAGTGGAGTAGCCCAGTCGCTCCGACTCACTCTTGTGACAATGCCCTGCCCCTCAAGGTCAGACAGCCTCTTTTCAGTCTGTTCGCGCAGCGCGAAAGGTAGCGGTCGTGCCTTGCAAAACACCGGGGAGCTACCTGGTTTCAGGACGATGTTTGCTTCGAAATTTCGTATTGCTCCGAGGGTACGCGAAAACACGCTTGGGAACTTTGCACGCAGGTTAGCTTTTCTGTCATCGGTACTCAGAAACAAAATGGATCCCCAGTTGAGCTGCAGTTTCTCGAGCCATGTTCGTCCCAGGAGTACGGGTAGCTTGCGCTCACCTTCTCGCACGACAACAATTGGTAAAACAGCTGTCTGCCCTTCATAGCGCGCGTTCACAGTGCACTCTCCCACGACATGCATTTTCTGGCCCGTGTATGTTTTCAAAACTATAACACTGGGCTCACATTTCACATGCGACAGTTTAGCTTTGTACACACTTTCTGGTACAATAGTCACCGCGGCTCCCGTGTCTACCTGCATTGGTAGATCCTGACCTTCCACATTCATGGTTACTATGTAACCTTTCTTAGCCACTG